GAAGACTGGCTAGCAGTGGTGGCTAACCTTTTTGGGCTCCTGTGCCAAAAATTGTGCACGTGCTTCCATGCTTGCACTCATGTGTCAGCTCCCCAGGCAATGCACGCCCCCCATGCCCCCTAGGCATGCGCACATAATCCTCTCACAGCTGATTTTCAGCTGGTTCGACGCCTTTTTTGGCCTCCCAAAGGCTTGAGGAAGGCTTCTGCAGGCTTTGCAGGCCGAAAACTAGCCCCGTTTAGTCACTTCCAGTATTTCCAGAAAAACAGAAAGTGACGAAACAGGCCTGGTTTTCATCCTGCAAAGCCTGCAGAAGCTTTCCTCAAGCCTTTGGGAGGTCGAAAAAGGCCTCAAACTGGCTGAAAATCAGCTGTGAGGCACGCGCATGCGCAGTGAGGTAAGTTTACGTGCAGCTCACGTGCTGGCACAAATGGCTCTGCGTGCCACCTGTTCGCCATCACGGCCCTATACCATTTTAGACAAATGGTCGTCCAAGTCTCTTTTTGAAAGCCTTCAATGACGGAACACCCACAACTTCTGAAGGCAAGTTTTTCCATGGGTTGATTGTTCTCACTGTTACAAATTTTCTCCTTAGTTCTAGGTTGCTTCTCTCCTTGGTTAGTTTCCATCCATTACTTCTTGTGTTGCCTTTTGGTGCTTTGGAAAATAGCTTGATCCTCTCCTCCTTGTGGCAGCCCCTGAGATATTGGAGCACTGCTATCATGTCACCCCAGTCCTTCTTTTCATTAGACTAGACGTACCTAATTCCAGCAACTGTTCCTTATATATTTTAGCTTCCAGTCCCCTCATCATCTCTGTTGCTCTTCTCTGCACTCTTTTGTAGAGTGCACATTTTTTTTATATTGTAGTGATCTGAACTGGATTTCCCACAGAACCTTACTTTTTTCACCATTGAATTTCATTTTGTTAGATGGGGCCCAGTGTTCAAGTCTGTCAAGATCCTTCTGTATCTTCTTAAGCCTGTCTTCTGGAGTGTTGGCCATTCCTGCTGGCTTGGTGTCGTCTGCAAATTTGGTGAGTTCCCCATCTATCCCCTCATATGAGCCAGCAGTGTGCTGCAGCTGCCAATTAAGCCAATGCAATCCCAAGCTGGGTCAACAGAGGGATAGTATCAAGATCACGGGAAATATTAGTATTGCTCTATACTGCTTACAAAGTGATTTACAACTAACTAATCCTTGCATGGCCGGCGTTGCAGCATCCCCATGGTCACACGATCAAAATTTGGCAACGGGTGTGTATGTATGACAATTGCAACATCCTGTGGTCATGTGATTGCCTTTTGTGATGTTTCCAGCTGGCTTCTGACAAGCAAAATCAATGGAGAAGTCAAGATTCTCTTAATGATCACATGATTCGCTTAACTGTAGTGACTTGCTTAACAACCATGGCAGAAAAGCTCATAAAAATCAGGCCCAGTGGTGGGATTCAAAAGTTTTTACTACCAGCTGTGTGGGTGTGGAATGGTATGTGTGGTATGTCTTGGTGGGCGTGGATTGGTGGGCGTGGCAGGGGAGGGATACTGCAAAATCCCCATTCCCTCCCCACCCCACTAACCTGCTTTCCAGCTCCGTTCTCCTATGCACGGAAACCAAAGAAGACCCAGCCAATCAACTGGGGCTCAATGGGAGGCAGAGAATAAATGGGGGGCGGGGCCAGTCAGAGGCGGGATTTGCCGGTTCTCCAAACTACTCAAAATTTCCATTACTGGTTCTCCAGAACTGGTCAGAGCCTGCTGAATACCATCTCTGCACTACTCCCTTAACAACTGCCTAGCTTAGCAATGGAAATTCTTGTCCCAATTGTGGTCATAAATCAAGGACTATCTGTGCTGAGGCAAAAAAGTTGATAGTCCTGGATTTACAACCACAACTGAGCTCACGTTTTCTGTTGTTAAGTGAGACATTTTGCCTCATTTCACGACCTTTGTCGCCACAGTTGTTAAGAGTGTCACTGCAGTTTGATAAGTAACACGTTTGTTAAATGAATCTGGCTTCCCCCTTCACGTTGCTTGTCAGAAGGCCACAAAAGGGATCCCATGAACTTGGGACACAGCAACAGTCATAAGTATGAACCAGTTGCCAAGCATCTGAATTTTGATCACATGATCCTGGGGATGCTACAAAGGTCCAAAGTGTGAAAAATGGCCATAAGTCCCCTTTTTTCAGTGCTATTGTATTACTGTAAGTCGAGGACTACCTGTATTGGGAGCAGGGGGATTCCCTGAAGGAGGTTACTCGATCCATCGTTTGTTGGAGATGTCAGGAATGGCGCCAAGAAAGCAATGGGACTGTCCCCCAGACATCTCTAACAGCGTTTGATGCTGCATTCTTCACTATCAGCAGCTATTCTATCTCCCCCACCACCCTGCACCCAAGTTTACAGAATTAAGTTTACAGAATATATCACAAAGAGCACTGATCATGCAGACCGATACAGCCTCGGGGCCTTTTTCACACTGAATGGCTCTGGGAAATCAGCTTCTTTCTTTGCATAGAATCTTCCAGCAATTGCATGTCGTACCCACGCCCTCTTTTCTTCATTGAAGTCCGTGCCCAGCTGTGGGCTAACTCAAAACAGCCAGACAGCTCCAAATATTATATTTTCACGGATGGGCTGCCTTGTCAAGCGTCCCATTGGCATAGGCAGCAAAAGGAATTCTATTTTAACCAAGAGTATAACTTCACTGATCGATCCATAGAGAGGGCACAGAAGAAGCGAAGCTAGCTCTGAGGTTTTCACGCGCAAAACAGCATAATTCACTCCCCCTTTCCCCCATTTGGGCCACCCCTTGTTCACTGTCCAGCAACTCAGCACATTCTTCAGAGGGTCCCCATTGCGCAGCTTGTAGTGCCAGGATTTTGTCAGGCTGGAAAGGTTAGGGTGTAGGAATGTAAAAACCCAGGCAGTATCATATGCATGAAGAAGTAAAGGTTTGATTATTTCAAATACTAACTCATACACTGAAGCAGAAGTGGGCATTTTACTGTGCCTGGTCTACATCCTTTTGGCTGTTCCTGTCCAGCTATCGTGAATTGCTTTTATTTTAAAAGCAACTTCTATTTTTCTAAATAATTTGTGTGTGCGTGTGTGTGCATGCGTGTGTGTGTGTGTGTGTGTGTGTGCATATGTATATATACCTTCACAACCTCTTTGGTTGGTCCTCTACTACAGTTTCAGTTTCTTATGTGACCCCTTGGGAAAATTAATCGCCCACTCCCCTGCTTTGAAGGAACATCCTCCTTGGGTGCAGGACTTGGGGTAATTAATTCAATTATCCCTTTGTAAAACAAACAAAAGAAGCACTTTATGTGGAGAGTCATTTCGAGATGTGTGGACTTCAACTCCCAGAATACCCCAGCCAGCAATCAAGAGCATCAGCAAACTTTAGCCAGTTGAAGATGTGTGGACTTCAACTCCCAGAATATCCCAACTCCCAGAATACCCCAACCAAGAGCATCAGCAAGCTTTAGCCCGTTGAAGATGTGTGGACTTCAACTCCCAGAATACCCCAGCCAACGAAGCTGGCTGAGGTATTCTGGGAGTTGAAGTCCACACACCTGCCATTGGCTGAGGTTAAGAAATGCTGATAAGAGACTCTTGGTGGAATAACCAGGTCAAGATTTACTGCATGCATATTTACCCAGGGGTGTCTGCAAAGAATGGTCAAAAAAGTCAAGATGGTGGCTGCAACTGAAGCTCCACCCACATTTATATGTGACCCTTCCCACTTAGTTGAACATGGCAAAGAGACTCTTCCTCTTCAGTGTTTTATCTATCTGCCCTGGGTTGAGATTGGGAGATTTAACATGAGATTTCAACACTCCTCTGCTCTCTTTCCCCAATTATGGGGATGAACCCCAAAGCTTTTCCCGTTGTTTTAATTTTTAAGGGGATGTCCAAAAAGGACGAATTTGACATCCACAGAGGGCAATCTTTGTCTCTGTAACTGAGCTTAATTTTAATTGAATTTAAATGAAACTAAATCGATGTGTGTAAAAGAAGAGGTGAGGGCTTCAGGTTGTAGCCGCTAGGTTGACTTTTTGACATCCTCCCCTCTCCCACTACCATTCTCTTCTACCCCCTTGAAGATGATAATCCAGTCATGATTTTTCAAGGTCAATGGGGATTAATTCACCCCCAACATTTGTAGAACTCTACCTCCCTGAAATTTCAGGTTGGTTTCCCCTGCCTGATGCGGATGAGTTTATCAAGGACTGTTCAAAAGGCTGAACTGAAGCTGCAAATGTTGGATCTACCGGAACACAAAGAAACACAAAGCAAAGCAGCTGCACATATTTCAGAAATATTTTAAAATTGTACTTCTTTTGCATGGGGCCTGCTTCGGCACAACTCCACCTGCCATTGCTAGCTGTACAGTAGGTAGTTCCTGACTTATGACCATTCAGTGACCGTTCAAATTTATCCACAGCACTGGAAAAAAGTGACTTAGGACCGCTTTTCGCACTTACAACCATTGCAGCATCCCCTGTGGTCACAAAATTAAAAATCTGAACTCCTGGCAACTGGCTCACATGGATGATGGCTGCAGTGACCCCGGGAGTCATGTGATCAACATTTGTAACCTTCTGACAAGCAAAGTCAATGGGGAAGCCGGATTCACTCAACAACCCTGTGATCACCTTTAACTGCGTTGATTCACTCCACAACAGTGCCTGAAAGGTTGTAAAATGAGCAAACTCGCTTAACAACAGAAACTGGGAGCCCAATTGTGGTCGCAAATCAAGGACTACCTGTATATGTTTCCAGGAAATACAATTTAGAGTCAGACTCTGCAGGTGAAAGCCAAAGGGAGAGAGATCCTATGCCTCTCTTTCTTTTCTTGAGCAGAAAAAAAAAATCACTGTTGTTTTAGGGGGTCATTTATTTGGGGCTTCCATGACCCTCCTTTCTTTCCACTTTGTAAAGCCTCCTACAGCATCCCAAGGCACCAAAGAGATTTAAATGCCCAGCCTCACCTGCCCAGCTCCGGTCCCATGATATAGAAATCCTGCAAAGCCAATTCTCTCCGGGATCCTTCAATCCAATAGTCCTCCTCCAGAGGTTTAGAAGTGAGCATCCTGGAACAGAGAAGAAGGCTCTGCTTCTGCTTTCTTGTCTTTCTTTCTTTTTCCTCCTCCTCCTCCTCCTCCTCCTCCGATCACATTGCAGATGGAGAAATTAAAAGAAAAAGGAGGGAGAGATAGAAGGGGCGGGGTAGGCTTTGGAGATGCAATTTCGAGGATTATCCAGGAGGATTCACAATCGCATTGTCTTAAATTTTCTTCTGCTAGAAGATAAAGTGGGTGCAGACTAATCGGCAGCTTCACACTGGAGATGCTGGCATCCAATGTCCCCTCAGCCTCCTTAAAAAGGGGATTTTAAAATCCTGGGGGGGGGGGGATTAGCTCTTGCAGGTGCAGATGGCACAGGTTCCTCTCCAGATGTTCACCTATCTTTTTTTTTTAAATTTATTTCTCAGCAAACAGCTTCCTTCCTTCCTCCTCCTTTTGACACTTGGGGCTGCTTTGGAAAACCAACCCTGCAGAGTAGGTCAACTTTCCACCTGCTTCCGTAGAGCCATAATCCACTGCCTTTCCAGCACAGTCTTCCTGTCCGGAGGATGGCAGCTATTTCAAGGGAGGCTCGCTCCGACAGAAAAACCTCTCCTCCCTCCTTCCTTCCTTCCCTCTTTCAGCCCTTGCAGGAAGATGCTGAAGTGCAAAGCTTCGGTGAGAAGTTGGGAATCGTCAGCTCCACGCGGAGGATTCTGTTCGCTCGGCTGCAGCAGCCCACGAGTAATCCTGGTTTAAAGGGACAGCCGTACTAGATCTCGGGATCGGAAGGATAAAGCCGATGCATCGGGGCTCCGATGCGAGGAAGGTTGGGCCGTCAAAAGAAGTTTCCCCGGTCATCGCTCAGACTTTTTCCCCGGGAGGCTCCCCCATTCTGCAGGGCGATGCTCTGGCGGGTGCAGGCAGCACCACGCCCGACCGAGATAAGATCCCATGACCTCTATCGAGGGAAGGGTGGCTTTTGCTGCTCCGCCTTGCAAACCCAGCTCTCTCCTGCCCCCTAACGGATCCTGCTTTTCATGCCAAGGACGACGGACCGAAGAACGGCGGCGGGGATTGAGTACAAGGACTAGGAGTTTAACGAAAGGAAGGACTAGGGGGTGACATGATAACGGTGTTACAATATTTGAGGGGCTGCCACACAGAAGACGGGGGGTCAACCTACTCTCCAAAGAATAGAGAATAGAGAATAGAGTGCAGAATAGAATAGAACGAAGAATAGAATAGATAATAGAATAGATT